GTTGCCCGTAATGTAATGTTACTGCATGCAAATTTGTCATCGGCATGCAGTTGCGCATGTGTATACTCATTGCAATGAACTCAACAACGATTACGTTAGGGAGGCCCATTATGGCCAATGCTTGGTGAGGCCCGTAGAGCAGTGCTCGGGCTAACAACTGACAATGCTGTGGCCTTGCTGATGAGGAAAATATCAGGCTGTAACGAACGCACTGAAAGGCGAGACTGGGGGCCGGTGAGTAGTTGACAAATGCTACCGGTTCTAGACCGACACAAGACTATAAAGTATTCAAATATTACAAAAGGATGCACACTGGTGATGGCAAAGTCGGTCTATGAAATTATCATCATCTCTGACCCAAAACAGGCCAGTGGTATTTCATTCGCTGCGTATAACCCAGTTCGGAACCAAGCTGGTGACATCGGGCTTTTTTGTTCGCGATCAAATAAGAGTACTAGCGTCCTTATGAACGTTTACATGGATCATTTTAAAGACAAATCCGCATTTCATTCAAGGTCGCATCCGGACTGAATGGTGTCTTCCCGTCCTTATGTCTTCCCGTTCTTATGCCTTCTCGTTCTCTCATTCACCAGGATCCCACCTATGTAAGAAACCACCTTTGTCCGAGCAAAACCTGGGTCGTTATGCCATCATTCGGTCAGGTTAGACGGCACAGCGTTGGACTGTGTAGAGCTATACATCCATTACACATTTAGAAGCTCTTCTGAAGGCACCTAGGTAGCCACATTTCCTATAGGCGGCCATGGGGTGCTCGGAGAGGCGGTTACCGTTGTACCGGATCTAGCGCCCGGCTCCGAAAGGGGACCAGTCGACAGCGGGTGGGCCTTGTTACACATCGTCCATTCGTTCATGTACTGCACTCAGAAAGCGCGAGAGAAGGATGGGTCCAAAGGAGGCGTGTGAACGGGCGAACTCCGAGTGACAAAGTTTGCATATGAATTTGAGATGCAGTGATGTAAAGCATTTGTCTTGCTTTAATGTTATTTCGATATCATCACATAAGATTCTACCATTGTATGCATCGTTATCACCGTCTATATCACTACCACTGTACCATTATCATATCACAACAGACATGTAAGAAAACTGCCCGTTACAAATATGCAACGTACAACGGCAGCACCCACCGAAGCGGGATGTTTCAGAATTCGCATAGTGAGACAGTTGGAATGGGTGGATGTCCTTGCTAGTTACAAGTACACTTTTGCGTCTGACTTATCAGGGCGCATGACTTGTCGTCGGTCGCATGCGAAAATAATATGAATCAGAAGCGAACGTGAAGGGTTCAGGGCGGCGCTAAAACGGCAGAGTAAAAGGAGGTGCTAGTGTAGGCGTGTGCGCAGCAGGAGCTGCTCAAGCTATAATATGAATCGCAAGCAACCATCAGGAGTAGATCCGTGTGTGCAGCGAGACATGTCGCCAACATGCACCACCCTGCGCCGGGGCAAAGCCCGCAAGGCACGGACTATCCGATCGGAGCGCTGCGGGGCCCTCATACCGCCATACCGGCCGGTTCTGTTCCAGCCCGAACTGGCAGCTGCCGGGCCCCGTAGCTCAGTCAGCCTCACACACTTCTGACTGTGCCCGCCGTGACAGGCAGAAGTCCACGTGGCGCGATCACAGCGCGACCTTTAGCAGCGGACAGTGGCCAGCGCCCAGCGCTGGCTCCACAAGCGGTTCCGGTTGAGTTCCGCAGCCCCGCACAGCTGTCTCCGGCCCAGAGCCGGGATGCGTGCACACGCCACACGAATTGGCACACGAACTGGCGTACCCACCAGTTCCAAGCCACATAGACCTCAGTATGACCGGATCGGCCAGAGTATCTGTAGGGTCGGTCGACCGATACGCGGTCAGCTAGGTCTGAACGCCACCATTCCGATCGCGGCACCGCTGGCATGACGTGATGACAGCTATGTTCTGACATGACGCAGCCATTGTCGCAGCAATGGCCTGATGACGGCGGTTCCCGGCCTAACAAAAATCATGAGTATGGTCCATTGTTGCGCTGACGTCTTCTATCTCTAATGAACCGATGGACGATATCCATCAAAACCTGGGGTCGCCCCGCTATCACACCATCAGGCGCCGCGCTCGCGCTGACACGAACGAGGTCAAATTAGCTGCCATTCGTTGCATTTGAGTGGCACGAGTAATGAGTGACACAGCTGAGCGCGTTCGACACCACCTGCCGGCAAATCGCGCGCTGTCCTAGTAGCAGTGCCACGCCCAACCTCGCCGAGGGCATAATGCATGCATGACACTGGCCGGTATTAAAGGGTGGCGCCACGGCCGGCAGCCAAGTCGTCGTCGATAGTCAGCAGCGGCAGAAGTGAAGCTCGCAGCTGCAACCATGCGTACCGCGTTCGTTGTCTTCAGTCTGCTGCTGCTGCTGGCCGTGCTGGATGTCGCTCAAGCCCAAGGTATCTCGGTGGCTCTGTCCACCGGCCTCGGCGCTGCGGCTCTGGGCGGCGCCGCTCTGCTCGCCATTGGCGCGGCGTCTCGAGCTTTCGGAGGACGGTGAGTGGGCCCCCGGCCGAGCCGCCACGCTCGAGGCGGCGGCTGGAGCTCCACAGGGCTCCGAGCACGACAGGACTCGGTGCCGCCTGGTGCAGTCCAAGCTGTACCAAGGCAGATTGCAAAGTTGTTCTATACCTGTCGTGCGATGCTGATTGGTTGTCAGCTCGTGGTCGCTCGCGTTTCTTCTTTTTTGCCCGGTGTGAATGATGCACCTGTCTGACCGTCATCTCGGCCGCAGGGGGGCAGGCCGCCGCAGCTTTCGCCGCGGGCGGTTCGGCCGCCGCGGCCGCGGGCGCCGTTCTGTCGACGAGCTCCAGGAGGAGGAGGCCGTCTGGGACGCAGTCAGCGCCAACGACCAGTCCGGCTGCGTCCAGAAGCTCATCTGTCTGCTGGAGGCGGCCGAGAGCGAGGCCGATGACGACGAGAAGGCGCTGCTGGCGCTGGTCGGGTAAGCTGGCGGGCGTGGTGCGGAGCACGTGCTGTTGGTGTCCGTAGGGGCGAGCTAACTGACCCAGTCATGGCCGGCCCCTCTGAACAGAGACCAGTTATGGACTTGTGTTTCCAGGGTACTGCCGTTTATCTCCCCTGGTAGGGAACGTGACTCCACCGCCTCTTTCTCAGTGACCTGAGCAGCCAGGCTCAGGTGGAGGTGGTCTCCAAACTGCCGTACGAGGCCGCCGGCTGGATGGGCAAGTACCGCGGTGCCGCCGCCTGCCAGGCCTACTACGGCTCCCGCTGCCCCTACACCAAGGTTGACATGATGCAGCTCGTCACAAGCGTGTGGTCTGATATGGAGAAGGAGCAGGTGGACGACGCTACCACCGCCTGAAGCAGCTCTAGCTGACAAAACTCACGC